CCGTCTCCCAGGCAGCTGAGGTCAGCAAAATTACTTCCCTCCAGCCCCTGAGCTCCAAGACCCCTGAAATCCACCCTGACACTCCAATAAAAGGCCCTTCAGCTTACTGGCATGTCCGTGGAATTCTCTATCTCCTCCTAGCCCCAGAGCAGCTAGTTTATACCACACATAATATAGCCAAGCAGCAAGAACTTAGGAGACCATGGATGGCCTCCTTCTGTGGTCATAGGCAGTCTCAGAATATCACATGACCCCACCAGTGCCTACCACAAGGCGTCAGTGCCATGGTCACAGGCCAGTATCTGAAGACATCCAGACATCATTTACCTAGAGGGTTTGGAACACAGAGCCAATGGACACCACTCTTCAGAAAGCATGAAGAATATTAATTAAATGAAGGTTTATTTCAAAATTAGTCTTAGAGTATAAGCTGGGTTGAGGGCTGGAGCCAGACTACATAATGAGTGGTGAGGGCACCTCCCTTCCTCAGCACAGGTGGAGAGGAAGCGGTGCCACCGGCCCTGCGCCCGATCATGCATCCAATGATTACTAGCACTAGAAGCCAACAGCAAAGGACCCTGCGTGGTTGCTCATGTTTAATCCTGCTTAAGCTATACACGTTTAAACACACGCCGGAGGTTACGTGGTGTCATGCAATCCCAGTGATGGAATGACTTTCTTGCTCAGTGACCTCCTGCAGTGAGGCTGCTCCAAGGGTGAGGTTAAGTTGGACAAAGCACTGAAACGACAAGAGGAGAGAGGTCATGCAGGAATCACACTGAGCAGAGAGCTCCCTACCAGCCCACCCCACCCTCCAACCCCCAGAACCAGGCAAGGACTGCAGCCCTGAGTCATTCTCCCTAAGGACAGAGGAGAATGAAAGGTGTATGTTACAGTATCAAGTACCGAAGTCTCGCTAGCCTTGCCCATGGATCTAACTCTGTGACTTTAAGGAAATGCCTTCCCATTCCAAGCTTGTTCTTCACACACACACACACACACACACACACACTAGGATGTCCCTGAGCTTCTCATAGGGTTACTGAGGGACTTGTAAAATATGCTCCGTAAATATTAACTACTTTTATAAATTCACTGACATTTCAGTGGGTCACACTTCAGCTCACCAACCTCATATAATCTAATCCACTTCCACAAACTTCTTTGAAAAACTTCTATTCCTGAAAAGTCTTTAAGAGTCACAAGCTCTTCCTAATTTTTAACCTAAGTTCTTCCTATTGAAATTTAATATTAATCTCTCTGACCCCCATAAAAAGAGTACACTTTGGGATTTCATAACCAGGTTCCACAAAACTTCAACAACTCTTCTAAATTTTGTATAAATGTGGAGCAAGAACTCTAAGATGATGGGTCCAGAGAGTGTGTGGTCATCAACAGTCAGTAACACACAAACACAAGACAAGTGGACAGTGTAGGGTCCCTCATGGAAGTCTACAACCACCCAAAAGATATGAGCCTCTTGTTCCATCAAATAAAGAAAACAGAAGAATAGATTAAATTAAGCCTTGGGCTGAAATTAGGAAGAGTCTAGAACAAACATATTCTACAGGGGGCTGGAGAGATGGCTCAGTGGTTAAGAGCTCTATCTGCTCTTCCAAAGGACCCGGTTCAATTCCCAGCACCCACATGGCGGCTCACAACTGTGTGTACCACCAATTCCAAGAGATCTGACACCTTCACACTAATGCACATAAAATAAAATAAAATATTAAAAATATATTCTACAACTTAACAAATGGATTTAAAAGAACAGAGAAGAAGGAATGGGAAGGCTATATATGTTTTGTTTGTTTGGTTGGTTGGCTGGTTGGTTGGCTGAAATTTTTTTTAAGATACATGGCTGAGCATGGTGCTGATTTCAACACTTGGGAGGTGAAGGCAGGAAGATAAGAATTTAAAGGTCTTCCTCAGCTACATAGAGGGTTTGAGGCCAGCCTGGTCTTCATGAGATCCTGGAGTTGGAGGTGAGAGGGAGAGAGAGGAAGGATAGAGAGTTGGGTGAGGGTAATAGAGACACAAAGACAGACAGATTTAGGAGATAAATTTTCAAATTTTATCAACCTTTATCAGGTCCCAATAAAAGCAAATAAACTGAAAAGATTCTATGGGAAAAACCAAGGTGAGCTGTACAGTGATTGGGTCACCAAGGCCACCCAGAATGCTTAACTTCGTGGTTGTACTCTCCCCTCTTCCCTTTTTGTTGTTCTGGAAATGGACCCCAGGGCCTCAGACCTTCCAGGGAAGCATTCTACAACAGAGAACCATCCCAGCCCTGATTCTTTAGTTGTGATAATGGCATTATGGCTGTGTGTCCAATTACACTGAGATATTTATGGATAGAAAATATTAACAAAAATCTGCTTCAAAACAATCTTGCTGGCTAAGAGTATAAATAAAACCAGCGTGGGCTGGAGAGATGGCTCAGGGGTTAAGAGCACTGGCTGCTCTTCCTGAAGACCCAGCTTCACTTTCTAGTACCACATCTGTAATCCTGTCCCAAGGGACCTTATGGCATCTTCTGGCCTTTTGGGGCACACACAAGTTGAACAAACATGCAGAAACTATACGTATAAAAATAAATAAAACTTTAAAAAATTGGCTATGAGTTAATGAAGCTGGAAGATAAGAGCCATCCTTCTTGCTGTTGCCTGCATTGAAAACTTCTATAGCAAAATGTTCAAAAAGGAGCTACAAAGCAGTAACTGTGGCTCAATGGAACGATGCTTGCCTGGCATATATGAGCTGTGGGTCTCCAGCAATACCCCATTACATAAAAACTTATGAAAAGACATACTTAATCATGACATCATTCTCCTTTAAGTATTGAAAGTATTAACTGATTTTCAAGCTTTGTTTTTCCCAAATAAATATGACATGATGCAAACACCTCAGGATTTCTCCATAATAAGTCCTTTGTTGGCATTCTGTTCCTCATGAGGACCTACAGTGGTGACTTGAAGTAACATAATTTCCTCAGGCCTGCCAGTGACACCCATTACCGTGAAGCCCTCATGATGACCATGTGGTTTATGTGAGCAGGAGCTGGTTGGCCTGGTATGGGTGCTCCAAGAGGGCTTCAGCCTGAGCTCCACAGCCTGGGCAGGGACCCAGACTTCTGTTCTGGGATGAGGACAGATGTTCTCACCTTTTAAAATGTAGTCCGTTAGCAAAGTAGGCACCTTCTCATTATCTTCCTTCATGGCGAAGAGAACTAGAGAAGGAGAGAGAGGGAGATACAGGCCAGAATACTATCAGGGTATGGAGCTTGCATCTAAGGCTAGACCACTCCCACCCTAAGCAAGAGAGAAATGATTTGAGAAAACCTGGCATCCATTGAGTGAGTATGAAGTAGATGCATCCCTCTACAAGCTTCTGTCAAGAGTCAGCATTCTTGGGGTAAGACAGAATACACCCAGAGAGCCATAGACAGGGGTGTTTCTGCAAAGTGGAACTACCAGTGACTTCTTTCAATTTTTCCCTTTTGGCTCATCTATAATTTCCATACCAGCATGCATCTTTAACAAAAATAAACAAAACAATTGCCAAAATGATAAAATCATCTTTCGGATATAATCAACCTAGATGTCATTATTCCTGAACCACTAATAAAACTGTGCTGTTTGTTTTGTTTTTTGAGACAGGGTCTCACTTTATAGCCCTGGTTGGCCTGGAACTCACCATGTAGACTAGGATGGCCTCAAACTCACAGAGACCCATCTAGCTCAGCTTTGGAAGTGGTAGAATGATGGGTATGCCCCACCATGCCCAGCTATGAACTTGTCTTTAAGGATGTTCTACTCACATTTTAAAAAAAAATGGTATTGCAATAACCCTTGCCTCCAATTTATGGGCCACAAATGAAGTTTACCTAACAAATCTTTATTCTATGTTACATCCTGTGGAGAGGAAATGAAGTCCTGAGTAAATGTATTGTTGAGATGAGCCAAGGTCAAGGTCAAGGTCAAGGTCTCTGATGACTCAGACCCAGAGAAATGGCAAAGCCTTCCCCGGGTGTGGCTTGTAAGGGATGGAAAAGCTTTCCTCTGGTCCAAGTATGAATGATATGAAACATTGATTTTTTTTTAGCTAAAAAAAGACATTTTTTTTTTTAGCTAAAACAAGTTTTAGGAACTGTCAAGCACATCTTCCCTTGACTGCAATCTGAAACTGCTCCCCTACAGAGATCAGCCGACCAGATCCCTCCTGAAACTGCTCCCCTCAGAGATCAGCCGACCGGATCCCTCCTTGTCCGGCTATATCCCGATAGACCCATCTCCTCGATGCAGATTACAAAATGAAGGCGCTGAGTTTCCAGGCTTCTGTGGTACATCTCTATTAGGACACATAGCCCGCCCAATCCCAGCTTTCCTGTGTGTCTGTCCTTTCTTCTTTCCTCATTACCCAATCAGGTCAACCCCAAGCCATGCAGGTCATGGCAATGGCCATTACAGTGTTAGACTATGCAGAGCTAAAGAACTGTGGACTCTCAGGGAGCCTACATCGCTCTTGCTGAAATACTTCCTTGACTTGTACAAGAAACAAACAGTGGAAAAACTTCTAAAGACTAAAGGCTTTTAAGAATTACCTTTATATAATTTTTTAAATTGCATTTTCTAGGCTAAGAGTGAAACTCAATGATAGGACACTGATCTAGCAAATGTAAGGCCTCTGTTCCATCCCCAAACAAATCATTACTTTTCTGTTAACTAAATGAGATGTTCTCAGATGCACAACTTATAATATTGAAGTCCACTTTGGGGAAAATTCCATAAGAAAGCCTTGTTTATAATATCAGCATAAGCATCCAACAATAGATTCCTTCACCAATAAGCTTCCTTAAGTGGACCACAGTGTACCAGTTGGTGAAGCCTTACATCACCTTATGAGAATGAGAGAGCTACATGTCTGAAACAGACTTACGCATGAAAAAGGGCTGAAGAAAATGTATTAGCTTCATAACAAGTATATCATCATGTAGAAAAATCTAAAACTGCATAAAACCATAAACAGTTCTGAGTGTGAGACCACAGAGCACGTTTCCATACTTGCAATTTCCCTTAACAAACACATTTCACTTGTATAAGCAGAGCAAAGAGTGACGATCAGTGGGCCCTGAGATACACTTCCGTGATCTCCTGCTTTTGTGGCTGGATAATGAAACTTGGGACAGAGTAAGGACAAGGTAAAGAATAGAACCAACATAATGGTATAAATCACCAACCATGTCTGGGGGAAAAGACTGAAGCTATTGTCTATCTGGTTTTTGTTTTATGTCTTTAGATAAATAGTCATTTCAACTGAATTAGCTGCTGGGGATCCTGGTGTCTTCTGATTGTTTTATGCTGTATCTAAAAAAATTAAATTACATGTATTGTGGTGTGTATACCAGGACATGCACATGAAAGTTGGAGGACAACTTGCCGGAGAAGCTGTTTTCTCTTTCTATCATGTGATTTCAGAGATACAATTCAGGTCCCTGGCTTGGCAGCAAGTGTCTTTACCTGCTGGCTCTGTTCTGTATTTTTAGATGTAAATTCATGTCTGCTTAGCTCGTTCAGTGCTTTGCAACTGAGCCTGGGCAGACCAAATGCCATTCCAAGATGGCTGTGTTGAAAATGCAATAACCCGACTTATTCAACATGTGTCTAAGTTGATCTTTAAACTAAAGCATCTACGTGGATGGTCCCATGACATGAGCTAGACTTTGGCCTGGGAACTTGATTCAAGGAGCAAAGAAAAGAGAGCGACCTTTTTTTTTTTTTTTTTTTTTTGGTGAACTCATACCAGGATCTGCAAAAGTTAGTACTCACATAACCTACAGGAGAATCAGAATTCGGGATCATAACCTATAGGAGAACCAGTGTTCAGAAAGATAAAAGTGTAGCCTCTAATGAAGGAATAAGACTTTTGAATGTGAAATGTCCACTTGTTAGAAGAGAAAGAATGTTAGCAAAATGTTGACTGGTAAAATTAAACTCTGCCTGAAGGGCTGGAGGGATTGATCCGTGAGCAGGGGCACAGAGGAACACGGTCATTCCTGGCACCCATATTGGGAGGCTCACAACCACCTGTAGTAGTAGTCACTGCGGCTACAAGGGAGATGCACGCCTGTGGCACGTATACATGAATAAAAATAAATCTTTAAAACCAGGTTACAAAAATGTATAACTTTGGGCTAGAGAGATGGTTCAGCAGTTATGAGCACTGAGTGCTTTTCCAGAAGACTCAGGTTCAATTCCCATCACCCACATGTTGCCTCGCAACCATCTGAAACTTCAGTTTCGAGGGATCTGGTGTGTGTGTGTGTGTGTATGCGTGAACGCACGCATTTGGGCCATAGGTCCTGTGTGGAAGTCAGAGGATAATTCTACAGAGTTGGTTCTGTCCTTCTATCTTTATGTGGGTTGTAGGGATTGAAATAAGATCTCCAGGCTTGCACAGTAAGTGCTTTACCCACAAGCCATCTCACTAGCCCTATACTTCTTTAATGAATTGAAAAATATAAAACTATTTTCAATGAAGAGAATCACACGAAATTTCTAGACAAATGAAAAATTCTTCCCCTTTTCAAGAGCATGATTAAGTTCTTTATATACACCAACCTCTGAAATGTGTCCAAGTTGTCCTTTAAATGTTTACCACTGTGAAAACACAAGCACCTGGCTTGTGTTTCTTTCTCTTCTAACAAGTGGACATTTAACAATCTAAAGTCTTATTCTTTTGGAGGATACGCTTTTATCTTTCTGAACACTTATTCTCCTATAGGTTATGATTCTGAATTCTCCTGTAGGTTATGTGCTGATAGCGTGTGCTGCCTCTGTGTGTGTATACATGCATGCGTCTGTGTGTCTCTGTGTATGTCTGTATATGTGTGTCTGTGTGTATATCTGTGTCTGTGTTTTTGGGTGTGTATCTGTGTGTGTCTGTGTGTCGGTCTGTGTGTCTCTGTGTACTGTGGTACTGAACACTGAATGCAGAACCTTGTGGATGCTCTGATAGTGCTCTCCACTGAGCTTACCATGAGGCACACCAAGAGTGCTTGATCTCTTATAGAAGACCCAGGTTGGGTTCCCAGTAGCTATGTGGCAACTCACAGCTTTTGTAACTAAAATTCCATAGGGTGCTCTTCTGATCTCTGTGTCATACATATGAATGACATGTGTCACCCACATGTAAACAAAAACATTCATACACATAAACAAAGAATAAATTGTTTTAATTAATAATTGAAAATAAAACCTATGGTTGGGCATATTGGTCTGCACCTAAAATCCCAATACTCAGGAGGCTAATAGGTTAATAGAGTTCATTATCTAGCCTAGGCTATACATTGAGAACCCATTTCAAAAGAAAAAAAAGAAAGAAAGAAAAGAGAAGAAAAAAGAAAGAAGAGAAGAGAAGAAGTAAAAAGGTAAAGGAAAATAAAGGAAAAAGAAATAGGTTTTAAAAAACTAAATGGCAGGCCAGACATGGTAGGACACATCTTTAGTTCTAGCACTCTGGAGGCAGGGGCAGGTGTATCTGTGTGAATTCCAGGACATCCAGGGCTAAGTGGAGAGACTCTGTTGCAAAACAAACAGACAAAAACAAAAGAAAACAAAACAAAAGCAGTGAGTGGGAGGTAGCTGGAGAGATGGCTCAGTGCATAAGAGTACTTGCAACTCTTGCTGAGGACCCATATTCAGTTCCAGCACTCACACAGCAGCTCATAACTCTCTGTAACTCCAACTCAAGGGCATCTACTGCCTTCTTCTGTCCTTCCTGGGCACCAGGCAAGCAAGTGGTGCACATAAATAATGCAGGTAAAACATGTGTACACATAAAAATAAAATAAAAGCTGGGCCTGCCGGTACAAACTGGTAATCCTGAAAGCAGAGGCAAAAGAATAGCAAATTTGAAGCCTGCCTGGGTTACATAATGAGTCCAGGGGCAGCCTGGGCAACTAAGTGAGCTCCTGTCTCAAAGGTTAAAAAGCAGATGCAGAGCTCTGAGCTGGCAAGCACAAGTTCCACAGGTTCAGCCCATAGTACTGAAAAATAAATCTCAGTGCATATGTATGCAAGTATAGGGATCTAAGCAGACTTGTGTACTTTGAAGTTAAATTTCTGATTCTCAAGGACATGGTGTCTATGGAAGTCAGCAAGATCTGTTTGCCGCACACTCCTGCTTTTGTTCTCTAGGCTGATGAAAAAGAAGCATTTCCTCACTCTTAACTTGGGGGTGGGGAGCAGTAGGAGGGATGCCTATCTTCCTAGGATGATTTGAAGCCCCTTTCCCTTCCTCTAGCATGACCGACAGATAGCCTTGCCCTGGCCCGCCCCCTTCAGAGCAGCCACAGTGCACTGAGCAGCCTTGTGAGCTGTCATTCAGCAGACCAAGCTGCCTGGAAAAAAAATGGGATTTCTATCTGATCCACTGAGAGTGTCACCAAGTCTCAGTCTAAGATTTTTCTCCTCCTAAGAGAGCCCAGCAAACACTGCTGCCTGAAGCTGCCCTTTCGGGGCTTGTACTGTTAGAGTGTACGGATAGATGGACTCTGCCTAAAAAAGAACTTTATTACATGTTTGCTTCTCCGCATAGCTCAGAATGTTAATACAGAACAGAGCAGCCAAAGTGAAGAAGAGGCAGCCACTTCCTGGAAGGAAAACTAGACTCTATTCTTTCCAAGTGGCCTCACTCCACCCAAAAAGCCTCGCTTCACATTAAAAGAACAGCAGCCAGAGCTCTCTGCTTCAAGGGGCCGATGTGTAGACAGTCAAGGCAGAGAAAGCAAAGTCCAGGGAGCTGTAGGAAAAACAGAAAAAAAACAAAACAAAACAAAACAAAACCAACCCTCTGCCCCTCCCACTTCTGCCCCACCCCTCTATTGCCTCCCCACCCCTAAAAAAAAGCCTGGGGACCACAGCAGAGCATTTTAATCTTGCCTTGTTCTTTTTGTCCTTTTTTAGGAGCTGAGGATCTAACCCAGGGCCTTGAACTCGCTATGCAAGTACTCTTACCACTGACCTAAACCCCCAAGCTAATCTCACCTTGTTCAAGAGGATACAAAATGCAGAGAATTTTGCCCCAGGCAAAGCCATCCTAAAGAAATCTGGGAACCGAGAACAAGACGTGCACAGGCAAGAATGGAGAGACGATGTTCTGGGCATGGGGCTGAGGACGAGAAACTCACTGTTGGTCAGCATCTGCAGGTCTTCCACAGAGGGAGGAGAGGATTTCTTCTCGTAAGGGATGACTGTGTTCAGATACTGTCAAGACAAACGGCACGAAAACCTGAGTCATGGTCCCTCTCGGGTTGAGGCCCAGTGGGCAACTTGCACGGGGACCATGTTTTCTTCACGTGCTGGGTAACACTTGCTGTCTCTATACAGTGCTACCTCAGAGCCTTCCTCTACCTCCTAACGGACATCTCTACAATAGGTTTGCCTATTTTCAGTGCCCCAACTTCTACATTCTTTTTTTGTGTATGTGTGCGTGGTTTTCAATGATTTATTTATTATTTATACAGTATTCTGCCTGCATACAGAAGAGGGCACCAGATATCATTATAGATGGTTGTGAGCCACCATGTGGTTGCTGGGAATTGAACTCAGGACCTTTGGAAGAACAGCCAGTACTCTTAACCTCTACACCATCTCTCCAGCCCAACTTCTACATTCTTAATGTGCTAAAGTCTTTTTGGTTCTCAAAATCCTGGGGAGCATTTCTTCTCCTGGATGGTAGCTGGGGCAGTGGGTACAGGTTTATTCTTCACAGTGCAATTTGAGAAGAAATTATTTCTCTTTTGTCAAAATGGTATACCTACTTCACCCAAGATCTTGACTGTCTGATGGGCTCTCTTCTACAACAAAACAAGCCCCAAGATACCCAGCCAGTGGGCATCAAAAACCAGTAGGCCATACTAATGAGGTCACCCAATAAAAATGAACAAGCAAAACTTTGCTCTTTCTGAAGTTAATTGCCTTGGGTATTTTGTTGTAGTACAAAGGTGATGACAAGTTTCTGACAAACAGGAGTCAAGAAAGAGATGCCATGGTGTGACACAGTCAGAGCTGCAACTTTGGTGGCAGTGGCTCATCTGGTCACCCAAGAGATAGAGCTTATCAGACTCTAAAGCAAACTAATTCATAGATCTACATTTGGTGCTGAGTTTTAAGTTTTATCCTTGTCCCAAGATAAAATGACCTTAAAAAACAAAACAAAACAAAAAATAAATAAATAAATAAATAAAACAGCAACATCAAAGAACAAACAGAAAAAAAAAAGAGCCCTGAAAGACATTTTCTGTGTCTTCCTTACAAGTAGAAGAAAATGTTAGGACATCTCACCCTTGTCTAAAATCTAGGATAACTCCAGTGTGTCCTCATCACCCTTATCTCTGGTGAGGGCGTGAGCTGCTCGCTGTCTAGAGGGATAAAGGAGCTAACTGGCTGTACATACCTGTCTGTCGGCTCCTGGGGAGCCAAAGGTCTGGCGGATGCCGCTCTGCAGGATGCTGGAAATGCCTTCCATGCTGAAGCGCTAAGGAAGAAACACACCCAAGATGGGCAAAGGCTTTCTTCCCAACATCATTGCCCCAGGGACCTCTGTGTTCTTGCTCAAATGCTCATTAGCTGTCACACCACCCTAGATAAGTGGCCATACCAACTAGAGAGCGAGTCTAAGCTCTTGGCTTGCACAGACAGGCAAAATTTAAGCAAGGAGAACAGTAGCCTTAAAGACGCATTTGGGTAAGTCCCTCAAGGTTACAAGACCCTTTTGTTACCCCCAGGCTTCCTCATTTCATCCTGTGTCATAGAGACAGAAAAATAAGACAGGACAGGGCAATTCTGGGGAACCATGACACAAAGATCTCAGTGGAAAACAGAGCATGCTGCTGTTGGGAAGGGTAGGCTTCCAGAAAGGACCTGGCACAGAAAACTTTCCTTCAAGAGGTGCATGGCCCAACCTTAATTCAACAGGTCTGTGATAGAGCTAGGCAAAAGTGTTTTTTAAAAAACAACTTAGATAATTCTGTGGACTTCACCCTATCATGAACCAATGAGCCATTTGGTTCTTTTCAGCCATTCAAACAATCCAGCAATACTCTACACATGACCCCAGCGAGAGCAGGCTAAAAAATAATCTATGCCAATGGTAGAGATCCTGACCCAGCTCTATTTTTTTCAAGGACCAGCCTGGAGAACACAGGTCATATTCAGGAAATTTTAAACATTTATTTAGTATGTCCTCCACTTAGACCAGAGGCCTTCTGGGAACTCCAGGAGATAGGAGGTATCCCCTCCCTTCCTGACCCTACTGCCTGTCACAGGGTTACGTATGATTATTACCCAGTAACTGTTTAGGGGTCCACTGCAGGGCAGGTATCAGGACACACGATGGTTGGGGCTCAAACCTGGCTGTGCCTAGCCTTCTGATCGCCCATGTACCTTGAGAGGCATCTGATTTCCCTTCTCTATTCGGTTGTTCTGAAGGCTTAGCCCCTTCTCTTTCCGCCTCTTCTTCATCAGTTCCCGTTGCTCCTTCTGCTTGTTCTGGACCTCAATGAGCACTGTGATGAAGGAGTTCTTCACTTCCTTCTCAAACTCCAGCTCATCTCTGCGGGCCAGCTGGTGTACCAGCTCCTCTGAGAAGTCACGGATGGCACCCTCCACCTGGTCCAGCAGCTCTGTCAGCTCAGATCCAGACATGTGTCTTAGCCCTAGTGAGAAAGAGGGATTCAGTGGGTGACACCTATAGAGACAGCCATGATCCTGCCGGAGATGAAACCATTCTTAGGGCGGGACCTCTTCCTATTCTTAGTTTCTCCGAAAGACTGTTATCATCAGGTGAACGAAAAGTGTCTGCAAGGAAGCATGGAAACTCTGTGTCCAATGAAGGTGGGCACATGCCTTTCTTTGATTCCTTGTTCTGTCTTTCTGTCTGTCCTCTATCTCTGTAATACTCACATATTATACACAACACTAGGTTGAGGAAGGAAATATTGAGGCTTTGACATCTGTAATGAGCAGTGATACGAGAGGTAGTGTTTTCTCCCAAGAAATCATGGAGACAGAGCAGACATCCAAATGAACATGACCTGAGCATGTATGGTTCTGTGCTGCAGTACACCCTCTAAACAATGGGAGACCCAGGGAAGACTGAGAAAGGGGAGTGAACAATGAAGCCTTATCAATCGGCAGGCTACTTCCAGATACAAAGAAAGGGAACCAGAGAATACAGACATAGACACTCTTAACATCTTGTCTCCTAAGGCTGCATGATGTTTAGATCATTGTCAATTGGCTACTTCAAAAAGGGTAGGAGAGCCAGGCATGGTGGCACATGCCTTTAATTCTAGCAGTTGGGTGTGAGCTCAAAAATAGCTTGATTTACATAAAGAGTTCCAGGACAGCCAGATCTACATAGTGAGTACTGCCTACAAAACAAACAAACAAACAAACAAACAAATAATAAAGCAGCAGAGTTGTGATTTTTTTTTTTTAATGTGTATGGGTGTTTTATCCTCATGTATGTCTCTGTACCTTGTATGTAAATGGTACCTACAGAAACCAGAAGAGGGCAGGGCATCAGATCCCCTGGAAATGGAGTACAGATGGTTGTTAAGTAGCCTTGTGGGTGCTGGGAATTGAACTTGGGTCCTTTGCAAGAATAGCCAGTGCTCTGAAATGTTGAGACATCTCTCTGGCCCTTGCTGTTTTGTTTTTTGAGACAAGGTCACAATTTGAAGGCAAGAATAGCCTTACTCCTCCTGCCTCAGCCTCCTGTGTGTTGGTATCACAGGTGTGTGCTATCACATCCAGTGAGCAGAAAGGATTGCACGTTTTCCTGACACATGGCGAAGGATGAAATCAGTGACACAACATTTGCTTAGCATGGAAGAAGCCCTGGGTGCAATCCCTAGCAACACATACATACACACAAACACACACACACACACACACACGAGAGAGAGAGAGAGAGAGAGAGAGAGAGAGAGAGAAAGACGACAGACAGACAGACAGATAGACAGACAGAGACAGACGAAACCCCACCAGAAAGACATGGTTATGTGTTAGATGATGAAATATTACACATTATACACAATGTATTGAAATGTTTCAGATGACACTGTATCCCATAAACACACACATTTGCCACATGCCAATTAAGCACATTAGTAAAATACATGTGATGAATGTAGGGCACCCTTTTTTATGTCACCTCAGGGCCCCCCTCTCCTTCTCATCTGCTCAGCCTGGGTGTCTGCTGACTCAGTTGGTTCCTCCTGCTTTGTTTTGCCCTTTGAAGCTGTTCTCCCCCTTCTGTTTTTTTTTTTGCCATTTCACTCTGCTTTGCTGAGTGCTTCTATGTTTGGGCCCTTTGTGTGGTTGAGAATGGCCTGACTGGGCGGGTGGTGAATGCAGCCAAGCAGCCAAACCCACTCCATCACCCTGTGGCTTGCTGCAGTGGCACAGTCTTGCCTGCTTCATCTTCCTAGGGCCAGGTAGTTTTGCTTTCCGGATGTGGTGCTTGATTTCTGTCTCAAATTTTGCAACTTCCACCTGAAATTTGGACCAAGGCACCCTAGCAGACACACCTTCTGTCTCAGCCCCACCCCCACACTCATTCATAGTACCATCACTGCAGAGAAGGCCTCCTCCTGCCGTGAGGGATGCACATAGCCACTCCTAAGAAAGCTGCTGATTTATTATTTTTTTACTATGTTTTCATTTCATGCTTCACCCAGCCTACTCTTTATATAGTCATTACTGTAAATCTGTGTTAGAGAGGTAATGAGAGACTGGCATTAAAAACCTGGATGCTGGAGTTACTCTCCTGGTTTCAACTGCTGTCTCCACTGCCCCTGTTAATGACTAGGAGGTGTGAGGGAAAGCATACATTGGAAATGAGATCTTCACTCTCTCTGAAAGAAAAGGGTAGAGGACTGAGGGTGTAACTCGTCAGAGTGTGTGCTAGCATAAGGCCCTGTATTTAATTCCCATCCCTAAATGACATACAGAGAGAGAGAGAGAGAGAGAGAGAGAGTTTTCTTCTTCTCCATCTCCCTTTTCTCTTAGATTTCTCTGCCTGCCCTTTTCACACATATATTAAAATGTTAATGGCTAAAAAAGCCTCCTCCCATCTCCACAGTTCAGGAAAGTTCCCTTCAGGGATCTGAGAGCCCCTGCTTTGAAATGTGATCATAAAGGAAAAGAAGACCCAATCTTCCACTGTTCTGGAGGTACAGGGGCCTAACTCAGCCACCTGACTCCAAATGGCAAAAACCATTTGGAGTAATGGGTTCCATCCACTTAGTCATAACAAGAGTACAGTTTCCTTCAGTCTCTGCTGTCCTTTGGAGGACTGCCTGTGATACGTAGCCTGTTCTCATTTAATATTTATTCAGTAATAAAATTGCCCTCACCCATATTTTTGTGAGAGGGATTTTCTGAGAGGCAAGGAGGTTTTGTTTATAATTCTATTTCTCCAACTGTGGGCTTAGACAGGTCACTTAAACTCCAGAAGACAGCTCAGTCCTGGGGGCATGGTGTGAAGTTAGTGTTAAGGTGACACATGGAAAACACTGACTGTTAGTTCTCTCTCTCTCTCTCTCTCTCTCTCTCTCTCTTACACACACACACACACACACACACACACACACACACACACACACACACTACTGGGGCTTGTACCTAGGATACCTGAGTATCCTAAATGCAAGGCAAAATGCTCTGCCACTGAGCTATAGCCCTTGTCCTACCATACATATTGATTGCATTAGGGCAATGGTTCAGAGTCCTACTTTTTAGTCTTGTTTGGTTTGCTTTAGCACTGAAATTTTATTCTACCCCCCTCCCCCTGCAAGAATGCTGACTTTTCTCCAGATACTAAATCGGGAAGGTGTTGTCTTTCCTCTGGATTTGCAAATCTCTACTCTAGGGCAGAGATCAAGTTCTGATAACTATATGTAAACAGTATCTGGGCAGGGCACAGTCATGCTGGCATAATCTTTTATAATCTCAGGCAGACAGATCTCTGTGAGTTAGAGGCCAGCCTGGTCTACGTAGTTAGTTCCAGCCCAGTCAGTGCTTCATAGTGAGACCCTATCAAATAAATAAATAAATAAAGCCGTGCCTGGCACTAAAGAGTTGTTTGATCCTCAGTAAACCCAGCTCAGTGTCCCTCACCTTCATAGGACCAGTTGTTGTTGAAAGTCTGTGTCAAGGCCTGCATCTCTTGCAGCAGGACTGAGTCTGCCTGGGATGAGATTTCTCCTCCATCCTCCTCTTCCAGCACCTCCTCTTCCTCCTCAGGATCTGGAGAGTTCTGCATCATTTCTTCGATCTCCTCAATCACCTAAAGATAAAGTACAAACTCCGTTTCCTCCTGGTGTTCCAGTTCATTCGAGTAGTCAGCAACATTCCTAATTTATTCTCTATCTTCATAAATATTGGATAATAATAAAAATAGACCCTATCAAAGGCTTGCATATGTTCTGTCTTCTTTAATGCAAAGCGCTTTCATGTAAACCTCTTCCAAGTGCTCCATTTAGATGAATGCATTATTGGAAATTAGCTACTCTTTCAGGAAATGAAGCAGGCCTGCCTGGAAGTAAACATTTACTTCAGTTTGCTAAGCATTTTGTTTCTAAGTGGGAAAATATTTTATCTGCCCAACTATAACACAAAACCCAGCCCATTAATTGGCACACTTCTTATAACAGAGGGGGAGGAATACACACATTCCCAGAACAACCCCAAATGGGGAAAAAAACAGATGTTTCTCCAGAATTCACTGGACAAGAACTGAAGCTGCCTAGTAAAAAGTGACACCAGAGATCAGAAAATGGTAGAAGGACAGCCATATCTGAAGAGCAAAAAGTAGACAAGAACTCCATTTCTGAATTTGACTGTTAGCGGGACTCAGCTCTCTTCAAGTTGAGGGTCAAGATAAATGCTACCAGAAAGAATGCATGAATGACTGTGGACATTAGCTGTTTGCACATAAAGAAAGGGAGTAACCCTCATGAGGAAGAGAGTCTGCATGAGTCTGGTGGCAACAGCACTATTAGACATCGTGGCCTCTTCACAGTGCCGAGAGAGACTCAACCTCTGAAGCCATTAGACAGTGAACTTGGAGATAGGTTTCTTCCCACTGGGCTGCACTGAAAGTAACAGGGCTTAGGGTTTCCTCTTTTGAAACTATCCCTGTTGATACACAGAAACCTTCTCAAATTGAACTGTAAATTTAGGACATGCTTACTTGTTGAAGGGTATTTTGTAAAATGTGACCAAGTAACACAGCTCCTCTTTAAGGTCTTATGGCTGACAGTTGTTTTCGTTGTGCCTATGATAATTACGAGTGATAGTCAACAGTCTCTGGAGTCTTCTTGGAGACAAACCTCTAAGCCTGTCTGTGAGGCAGTTCTAATTAGGGTAACTGAGGTGGTAAGACCGACCTTAACTATGGGCAGCACCATTCTATGGGCTGGGAGTCCTGGAGGAGGCAGAAATAAGAAAATAAAACCAGGTATGGTGGCATACACTTTTAATCCCTGCACATGTGAGGCAGAGGCAGGTGAATCTCTGAGTTCAAGGCCAACTTGTTCCAGGCCAGCTAGAGCTATATAGTAAGACCTAGTCTTTGTTTGTTTGGTTGGTTTTTGTTGTTGTTGTTTATTCAAGACAGGGTTTCTCTGTATAGCCTTGGCTGTCCTGGACTCACTTTGTAGACTAGGCTGGCTTTGAACTCAGAGAGATCCACTTGCCTCTGCCTCCTTGAATGCTGGGATAAAAGGCATGCACCACCACAACCGGCTAAAACCTAGTCTTGAAAATAAAATATAATATAATAAAATAGAAAGGAGAAAGAAAGCTAAGCAGCATTTCTCTTTCTGCTTCCTGACTGTGCATGCCACGTGACCAGCTCTGTGACTTCACTGCCATGGTGAAGTTGGATCAAAGTTGGATCAAAACAAACCCTTTCTTCCTTAGGTTGGCTTTTGTTCAGTATTTGATCACATTAATGACAAAATGTGACTAATAGAGAACCTGTCATTGAAGTGCAATCCCTCTCTTCAAGTCACAATAAATACTAGCCATGGGTGTGCAGAGGCAGCTCCACAGACAAAATCACTTGCTGTGCTTCCAGAGGACCTGGATCGAGTTCCCGGCATCCATACAGTAACTCACGACCCCTCGTAACTACACTTTCAGGGGATTTAGCACCTTCTTCTAGCCTCCCCAGGCACCAGGCACCAACATGCATAGAGACCCTCACACATAGACATAAGACATAAGGTAAGTATAAATATATATTTTAGAAGACTTTTAGTCCTGCAGGGTATGTTGAGTTTGAAGCCAGCCTGGTCTATATAACAGGTTCCAGGCCAGCCAAAACAAAACAAAACAAACAAACAAACCCTCCAAACACTCTTAGCCCTGTTCTTTTATTTTCCTTTGTTTTATGTGTGTGTGTTTTGTGTTTTGCTTTTTTAATTTTTTTTTTGAGACGGGGTCTCATGCAACAAGGATAGCCAGGAACTCCTGATCCTCCTACACTGCCCAAGCACTGAGTTTACAAGCATGAACACCTGTTCTTGACATGATTTCCTTCAATCTCTTATTCCTTACCTATAATAAATCCTACTTCAAAAAAAAAAAAAAAAAACAAAAAACAAAAAAAAAAGAAATTAAAAGAAAAAACTGAATCCTGCTTTTAGCCACACGCATGAAGAAGCACCTCCACTGAAACGCACTTTCTGGCTCTGCTGGTTGACAGTGGAGCGCTTTCAGAACAGCCGGGGAAAGCTTGTGTGGCGTCTAGCTCACATAAGCGCTTGCAGACATTTGTTGACTGAGAAGGTGAATAAAGAGACTCAGCACCTCTGCCTAAGTAAGAAATCCCCAAAACTACAACATGACGAACTCAGTCCCCCAAAGTGAAGCATGCCATCTTCTTCTTCTTTTTTTGTTTTCTCACAAAGATAGAAGTGTCTCTGAGATTCCTTTTGGAAGGCTAAAAATTTTCAGGATTCTACAAAATGTGATGAAAAAAAAAAACCCACCCATGACAGATGCCTTACCTGTTACTGCTTCTTAAAACAAAACAAAACAAAACAAAACAAAAAGAGCATTTAAGATCTGCCCTACACACAGCTTAAGTGCCAAAGCTCCAAGCATGAGAAATCTACGGAAATCCAGGCACGGTGCTACACATCTTTAGTCCCAGCACCTGGGAGGCAGAGGCAGGCAGATCTCTGAGTTTGAAGCCAGCCTGATCTACAGAGCGAGTTCCAGGACAGCTAGGGCTACACAGAGAAACTCTGTCTTGAAAATTTGAAATTAAAAAAATAAAAAGAAAAGTCTACAGAGGCATCACAGGAAATAAAGCCAGGAGACCCTAAATATGGCTCTGGGTATCATCACCAACTGCTACAACCAACCCAGGTGTTCAAAATTAAATTCACAAATAAACTGAAGCATAAAGAGAAACTAAACCTCTTATCAAAGATACTGAACTCCTCGACAAGGCACCTCAAGACTGCGACATCCTTCTTCTGACCTGGATGGGTGTGTCCTCTTCAGCCTTTGTCTATTAGAAGAATGAAAGTTTCCAGGAAGCTGGGTGGGGGGAGGTTCTCATTCATACCTGGTCAGCTGTGAGCAGAGGCTCTTCATTGATGCCAGAATCATTTTCACTCTTCTCATTGAACTCTTCTTCTTCCTTCTCATGGATCTGAAGGACAAAGGGCAAGTGACATTCTAACCACCAGCAGGAGTAGGTTCTCTGCTCCTAGATTAGATGACACTGACTGAAAGGACATTTTATCCCACATTCCACATCCCCCCACCGTCTAAAGAGGGAATACGGAGAGAAGTCTGAGTTCCATCTTCTTCCAAATCTGTCCCCATCACACAGCAGGCATTGCCAGCATGGCCAGAAGAAGACTATAGGGTAGGAGCAAACAGCACCATTCTGACTCAGCAGCGTTCTTCAACTCACAGGCAGGTTCTCCTTGGATGAATCAGGAACCTTCTTACAGAGAGTTGTGCTGCAGCCAGCTCATGCTGCAGATTTTTTTTTTTTTTTTTTTTTTAAGCAATGTCAGTTGGGCAGGGGAATGGGGTGTCCAGGTTTTATTCTAGTGGGAACTTTTGAAGGAAGGAGGAGATTGTTCCAGTTCGAGTAGTCCCAGCTTTTAAAATGGGATAAAATGCCATTCTCTCATTGGAACCCAGGTGTGGTTTTGTAGCTGATACAGGATATATAGGCTGCATCACGTAGGCTAAAAGACAAACTTAGCCGGTGATCCCAGCACTTAAGAGGCAGCCCCAGGAGGGATTGGGACTTGAAGATCCTCCTCCTACTATCCCTACTTGGCAACTTCAAGCCCACCCTGGGCTACATGAGATACTATTTCAAAACAAAGTAACAACAGAAAATGCCAGATGCGAATAGCACATGCCTGTAATCCCAGCTCTCCAGAGGCAGAGGCAGGAGAGTAGCAGCAGGTCCAAAGTTGGCCAAGATCATAGAGTGAGACCTTATCAAAAAAGGAAAGGAAGGAAGGAACAGATGGAGGAAAAGAAAGAAGGAGGCAGGGAGAGAAGAAAAAGGAAAGGAAAGGAAAAAAGGAAAGAAAGAAAGAGGGACAAACTAAAATCCAAGGAAAACACTGAAAGGAGAACTCTATTTAGCTCATTTGTCCTGTGTCCCCTAAATTCTATAATCCTAAAATTCTAGAAGGTCACAACCAATGAGACTCTAGAAGGTGTCTAAGTCCAACAAGATATTTGTAACAATTCTGGCTTTATTGGCCATGTTGCAAATTGTTTTGTTTGTTTATTTGTCTTGTTTTGTTTTGTTTGATTGTCTTGTTTTTCAGGGTTTTTCTCTGTGTAGCCTTGGCTATCCTGGACTCATTTTGTAGACCGGGTTGGTCTCAAACTCACGGAGATGCACCTGCCTCTGCCTCCCTGGGTGCTGAGATTACAGCCATGGGCCACCACATATTGCAAATTGTTAATGGTTCGGAGGTTATGTTCACGACCTGAACACATTCAATGACCTACCCAACTAAATCCAGCTAACAATCACACAGGGGCTGGCAAGAGGAATCCAGGAAACACCTCCACAGAGCCAGCTCCCATGCAGGAGCCACTTCTCTTTGTTCTTCTCTAAGAGCTAACCTGCTGTTTGGTCTGTCCACCAGGACAGTTCTTCCTACTGTAACAGAAAGCACTGGGGTTGAGGGCCCAGCTATCACGTAGTATAGCCTCAAAGCGTCCTTCTTTGAGCCCCACTTTGGCAGGTACCCCACCCTCAACTGTGCACATCTCCTTCTATTTCTGACTACAACTAGGATGTTGTCATTATTAAAAAAAAAAAAAAAAAAAAAAAAAAAGCAAAAACTCATTGTATCTTGAATGCCATCTGTTCTCAGCCTGGAGAAGGGGCAAGGCAGGGAAGTGAGGGAACCACCAGAGGAGCTGGTGGGCAGATGGTGGCATCTAGTTCTGCGGTGGAATCCGTATGCTTGTGTCTCTGCCAAGTCTACCACCTGTGGTTTCCGCTTGTTTCCACAGCTCCCCACCAGGCAGAACAAAACTCCCGGGGCCACACTGTTCACAGCTGCCTTCACACAGCAGAACTTCCCAAGGACTGGGCAGTTCCTGGGGTAGAAGTGCAGCTCTTATTGGGAAATGGAGGACTTTCTTTTCTGTTGGGGTAGCATTAGCCCATAATTCAAATTCGGATGTGAGGGCTTGAAATTAAAGCAAGGAAAATGCAATGTGTAGTTAGGTACAGTGGCATATATTTCTAATTCTAGCACTCAAGAGGCAAAGGTGAGGCGAGCCTGAGCTACATAGTGAAACTCTCTCTCAAAATAAAAAATAAATAAGCAAATAAAATATTATGGCTGTAGCTCAGTGATGAAGCCCTGGGTCCCATTCCCAGCAATAAAAGAAAGATGACCCTGCTGCTCAGTGGTGGAGCACTTGCCTAGGATCCTCAGCGCTGAAAAACAACAAAAGGTCAAGAGTGCTGGCACCTGCCTGTAATCCCGGCACACAGAAGGCCGAAGATCAGGACTTCAAGGTCATCCTCATACAGTGCTATACTGGGAGTCCAAGGCCTGAGCCACAGGAGACCAAAACCAAACACAGGGAAAGGGAGTGCTTACATTTTCTGAAACGTGCACAGCTCACTTCACTAATGTAACATGGCACCTTTGATCTAGATCGTCTTCCTCCCCAAGTTTCTCCCATGTCGGGGGCGGGGCTTGTAGGGAAGGGAGGCTCCTAATGGCTATTCAACAGTTAAGGAATCACAGCTGTGGCCTGAGTGAGGCACTCCTAGAGTGCTCTTTTCCTGCGGCTCTCTCAGGTACAAAGTGTCTGGCACTCAATAGCTAGAGTAAGGTACAGCAATCTGAAAGTCAGTTACAGGCTTCTGAAAACCGTCGTGAGCACCGTCACTGTTGTGGATACTATAAGCGGTTCCTTATTTTCTTGGTTCTCAGAAAACCGCCATGGGTAAAAACCAAAAGCCTCGGCACACACAATGCACTGCAAGAGAGCCCCAGCTCTCCCTTTTGTATCTGGTATTTCTGCTCGGTCACAGGTTTCACTACATCCACCCTGTCTGGGGTCTTCCTCTTCTCTTTCCGGCTTTTGTTCTGACTCTGCATCCTGCCTCTCCTGGACCTGGTTCCATCAAACTTGTGTTCTTCTCTGCTTTGCCCTGACAGCTTCAGCCGCTTCTCAACAAACCCTTTCCCTTCACACTGGCTGTTTACAGACTCCAGACTTTCCCCTCAAGCCAAGGTAGTATCTTGAGCAAAAAACTTAACGGAACAATAGAGAAAGATTTTGAAAAACAGCAGCATCGAATATGATGGCATCTGGATACTCTTATTCTTATTATGTGACACAGATATAGAAAAGTCACTTCCATGGCTACTTGTGTGACGATGGGAAAGGGCCCTGCCCAAAATGATCCACAAGCTTCTTTCTTGTTCATTTCCTTGTGGACTAAACCTGACCGTTATTTCTCCAGACCAAAAAGTAGGAAAAACAGAAGAAACGCAACAGTATGTACTTGGCCCAAGGGAAGGGCACTATGTCCTTTTTGTGCTCGTGAACACCCAGGAACCATCTGTGTGAGCTAAGTCAAGGGTTCTGTATTCTCATTGCAAGAGCCAGTCACTATCTGCTATTAAGTAAAGGTTACAGGAGTCAAAAGATGTTCTTTTACGTCATAGCCAAGAACAGAATAGAGTGATTCATTAAAAGCCCAGCCAGAGTGAATAACTGTTAAATACTAATATCTACATGTGTAATTCAAGGATATAATTTTGACCTAAACTATTAGTGCACACTTATTCACTGTGCTTTATACAGCTAAGCTATGGCAGGTCTCTAAGTGGAGGCCTAGTCTTTCCTGAAGTTCCCACATTATACAACGATTTAAATAACCTCCTAATTCCATTTATTTGCAGTACAAGGAAGGCACAGAGGACATTATGCATACAACTACTTCTTCTTCCTTCCTAGACCCTAATAAAATGAGAGTAAATGAATTTAAGAAAAGAATATCCCACGGGGGCAAAGTGAGTCAGAAAAAGATAGCAACCAAAAAGGTACTGGAGAGTAGCTGCTGGCCCCCGGAGCTGAAGGGCCACTGTCTCTCCAAGTAGAGCTTCAAAGGTAAATGGATAGACACTGAAGGTGTTGGAAACCTTGGGAGCCGGTGTCCTCAGGTTGGCAGTGTGAGTGAGGTAAAAGGAAGAGGACTTGTTGGGATGCTTCCTCAGGGGCAGCTGAACAGCAGGGTCTCTTCTAGCAGCCATGTAGAAAGGCTGCTACAATCCTGTCACCGTGAGGAGAGCTGTGGCTTTTGCTGGTGAACATCAGATAACTTGACAGAGCCTGGGGTTGGGGAGAGAGCGGTGTCTTACAAAAGCAGAGGGAGTGACAATCTGCGCACTCATCACAGAGACTCCAGCCTCCTTCCCCAAAGAGGATCTGAGGAGCACAATAGCCAGGCCTGCTCTCATGCTAGGCACTGGAAGAGTTTCTCATTAGATATTTGTACTACAGAAACATGCCAGCTTTCAGGATCTCTAAGCAAAATGATGGATCCTTTGATTACTCAAACGTACTCATCTACTCAGCGTAGCCAGAATAGAGACAAGTTCTAACCCCGCAGAAAGAGCTCAGCCTTCTAATGCCTCCCTTTGAAATTCAAAAAGATGAAGCCAGCCCTAGTATCACATACCTGCGATCCCAGGGCCAGCCTAAGTGACATGGTGAGTTCCAAGCCCAGCCTAGGCTGTATAGCAACACCCTGCCTCACAAAAACAAAAGCAACATTGTTGTGATTTAAATGTAAAAATTCCTCAATAAGCCTACATGTTTGGTTACTTGGTCCCCAGCTGGTCGTGCTGTTTGGGAAGGTTTAGGAGGTGTGGCCCCACTGAAGAAATAATGTCACCCAGGACAGCTTTGAGGTTTTATAGCCTACCCTACTTCTAGTCTCTCTCTCTCTCTCTCTCTCCTTTTAGACTGCCAATGCAATGTGATGGGTCTGCCTCATGCTCTTCTCCAGCATGATGAACTGTATTGCCTCTGAAACTCTAAAAGAAAATAATCCCTTTCTCCCCCAAGTTGCTTTTGTCAGTGATTTTTTAACCACAGTTACAGAAACAGAGAAGACGATATCCCTCCCAAGAA